CGGTACCCTCTCCCCAAAGTCATTAGCAAAATCGTCGGTTAGGTCAGGCGGGAAATTCAGGCGGGAAATTTTCGCGGGAGATTTCCGTTATCGTAACACGGTATAATTTATCAATTTTTATAATTTTGTTCTAAATTTATACTTCCGACAATTTGTTATAACATTGTATATATCAATTTATACGTTTTTACAATATTCTTCAATGGAAACATAGGTTTTAGCGTTCTCGTTACTTACTCGTGGTTAAATTAATTTCGTAGGGATTAAAAATCAGGTTGACCTGTGGTCGTACATTAAAAATAACCATAGTACAGCTAAATTTATCGTGTTAAATAATCCTTTTTACACAAATCAAAAATGTATTCAACGTTTGTCTGTTATAATATCGTGAAATATTATATTACACATTTTCTCTATTCACACTGAATTTAAAGATTATAACGATTAAAAATCAAGTTGACCTGTGGTCATTTATCAAGAATAATCATAATAAAGCAGTAGAATCCAAACTTACTAACTCTTGTAGAGAATTTACTGTACTTTGTATACAGTGTTCTGTCGAACTACCCGTGGGTTTAGAGACGTCGGAAAACTGAAATCTGATCATCTGCACTGCGTGTCAATTGTCGTATATTGTCGTTAGAATAATAACAAACGAAGTAGGTCGTGCGTAAAGACTTAGTTGTTTACTAAGAGACAGTGTTTTTCTAGAAAAGGATAGAATATGTATATGTCTCGGGGAGACAACAGTAAAAAAAAACTAATTTCTTGTTGTTTCATAGCTATAACACATCTTATTACAAGAAAAATAAACTTAGGATACGATAAAACGAAATTCTTGCAGTAACTGATCTAATTAGCTATACGCAGGCTCTCCTCTATTTTCAATTAACTCGATCATTCGACTGTGTACGTATATATACATACATATTATTCACGCATACACATAACGTGAAACTGTAGCTGTGTAGCTCGCAGAGACACGCTTCTCGCTTGATTTTTCTTTCAAGCTGAGCTGTTCGTGTGTACTTGAATTCGGTGCACTAGCTTCTTGTATGCAACGGCACTTAATTCACACGAACGAATATGCTAAGTACGTAAATTGATTGGAAATCCGCGTAAAATCGAAAACGCGTTGTTCGATGTATTCCCTACAAGACTATAATCGCGCAGTGTAAACGACGTTCGTCGTTCGTCGAGGCACTCGTTCGACAGCCTCGTAAACACTGACTGAGGACGAGTCGTCCTGCCCGGTATCCTATCGCTGTACGCTCGCAACTGTTCTGGGAAAAATTCTAGGCCTTAACTTCTTAGAACTCGTGATATTTCTTGCGAGCTAAACATAAGAAACACGAGCCTGGGTCGTTGTACGTATGTACATCGAGCCAAACATAAAGCTAGCTGTCCTTTTGAGAGTGAAACTATCGCGAGTTGCTCTCGAGAGTATCTCTCGCGAGTGGACACTGCGTCTGAGATCATCGCTCAACTCTCTGAGAGTTATTTCGTTCCTTAGGATGCGTAGAATCATGCTGTAAAAAAATTTTTCGTTCCGGCCGTATGCCAAAATTGGCCTTTTTTTAACATCCTCCTTTAAATTTCTCTTGTCTCAGTCCTCCTTTCCTCATATTATAATTATGTTTGTCACTTTAATCCTAATTTTAAACAATACAATGCCTAGTAAAATAAAAAAAAAATGTGGTTTCGCTTGCGTACGGAATAGATTTTAGTACTGGGTCATATTTGACCCGCCATCCGCTGTTCAAGAGTTAATGTATCATTTCCAATATCTAAATTTTGAATAAATATCTAACTATGCTAGATTAGAAATTTTTATACAAGATGTGTAAAAATGTTTCACGTTGAATTTCTCGCTCAGTTACAGACAAACGAGAGAGAGAACTCGGCTACTCTGACCACCAGCGACGGAGAGCTGAGATTGTTCGCATACGACTGCCCCGATGTGAGTACCATAATTCACACCCTGTGTACTCTATCTATCTACCTATAAAGCTTCACTTAATACAAAGAAAAGAAAAAAAAAAAACTCGAAACGATAACGAATACTACGACTTTTATACTTATCAGAGAACAAAAGTAACAGAGTTTGTTAGCTGCTAAATATAATTTAAGTGTCACTGCTTCTTTTTGACTAGGAACATACCATGTAACATCTTAACGAGATGCATTTCAATATCTTTTCAAAACAATTCTATCTATTTTCATTCTTTTTTTTTTTTGTTTCTCTAACAAAAAGCATAGAGAGATCGATCGTTGAATGTCTATAGAGAAACTATCGAGACTACTACTGTACCTTTCCATATGTTCTCTAAACTACTTGTTAAGTATCGAGGTACGAATCGTTCGAACAATCTGCATTACACTCTCGTGGTACAAATTAAAATCATTCTCTTAAGATCATTTTTCTTCAAAAAATTATCAAACATCAAAGCAGAAAATATGATCGATTCGTACGTGAAACGCGTGACACGCGTAGATTACGCGTGAACGTTTTAAGTGTCGCATGTGACTTGTTGTTGGACCTGTCGTTTACTACCTTTCTCTCACGCTTTCTTCTCACAAAGGAACGAGCGCGTTGTGCGTTGCGTGAAACCACCGTTTGTGCGTTTACTTATCTTTGTCCGTCGTCGTCGTCGTCGTCGTCGTCGCCGCCGTCATCGTCGTCGTCGTCGTCGTCGTCTTCGTCTTCGTCGTCGTCGTCGTCGTTGTTGTTTGTTTGTGTTGTTTATTTTGGCTTTGTGTTTCTTTGTGTTGTCAGAGCTTTAGCGGAAGTGTAACAGTAACGATGGCCGGGAGCACCCAAACCGCCCAAACCGGCAATACCGGCCACGCCACAGTCAACACCAACTCACAAACTCACACTAGTTCTGAGCAACAACTACCCGTGCCCACCCCACTTCACTACCCCTGCAAGATTTGCGGGAAGTAAGTCTCCAATCTCTAATCTAAAAAAAAAACTTAAATTCGTTCGAATACAAAATAACGATGGCCGGCCACTGACACAAGTGGCTACCTTAAATATACACGGCGGGTACGAGCGGCAAGTATAGGCACAAGCACATATAGAGAACACTTGCTTTTTTTTCTTTCTAGAGAGAGGGAGAGGGAGAGAAAGAGAGAAAGAGCCTTCCTGCATACGTTTTTTCTCGAAACACGTAGAGAATTTTCTCAGTAGCATCCAGTTTCGATTACATGTTGTATACTTAACGAACGGTTGATAAATGTCAGGTATATTTTCATTGAAAGAATTGAAATTCTACTTTTTTGGGGATTAACGGCAAAAGTTTCACTTTTAATCGAAGGAAATTGGGAATATATTAGTACCTACTTGTTGTATAAGGAAAAAATTATATCTGTAGTATAGATATTTCGTGTATCAAGTCTAATGTTACATTGAAGTGTTTATAGGAAGAAATTGTGTGCGAAAATATTCGAAATATCAAGAAATTTGCAAAGGAATTGTTTTCATTTGAAAGAAAGTGTGCAAAAATGTGCCTGATACTTATTAACATCGTGTACTACAAACATACTTTCACAGAACGACTCATGACGATGCTTGTATCCTATTTGCTGCTAGCTACTATTAATGCCGCTTTCTAATCGATGTTTACCTTGCCACGAATTAACATAAGACGACACTTCTACAGTATTCCGTGGCAGCAAGTTGGATATGTTTAAGGAAAACGCACTATTCTCTATATACGAAGTACTCGGACAATTGCTTTATACATTTTTCAAACGAGACTCAGTTCTCGATAGATGTTGATTTTTATTTTTTTATCTTTCTTTGAAATTTTGTCGAATTATTTTCGAAAAAATGCTTAAAGCAATTTATGTGTAATATATATATTTATTGTATGTATATATTCATTTATTAATTCGATGTGATTGCTTGAATGTTAACGTTAAGAATTTCGAGAAGAATCGGCCGCAAAAGTGTCGACGTAGATTATAAAGTAGAGAATATAGTGCAATGTTTATGATTACACGTAGTAGCATATGACTATGTCTTATTCATTCATGAAAATTCATTTGTCTCCCCCTCTTTTCTCCTTTCTTTTCTTTCCTGCTATATGTACATGCATCTACAAAAAAAGAAACCCACTTTTTAGTCCCACCCGTTATATTATATTTGCGTGGCTGTCACTGAAATTCCTTTCTTTTGCAAACCAACGTTTTCGGTCTCGTTCAGTTGAATTGCAATCGTTCCAGTACCGTTTTACTCGCCACACGTCAAGGTGAATAATTCCGGCAATAAATATTTAGAACGCTTGTATTACCGTAGAATCGATAATTAATGTTGCAGCGCATCATACGCATGATCCGTCATTAATTAGCTCGATGTTCATACGTCGTTGTCGTTACACGATCGTAAATACCATACGCATCGCCCAAGATACCATTCGACGAGAAATTCCGAACGTCCAGAACCGTCAAAATTACTCGAGGAATAAAAAAGAAAAAGAAAACTTATCCGAGATACGTTTCGACAAAAATTAGAACCGTCAAAGTTACTCGATAAATAATTAAAAGTCCCAAGATACCATCAAAATTACTCGCAAATTAAAAAAAAAAAAAAAAAAAGAAAGAAAAGGAAAACTTCCCCTTTCGATGCAATACGATCAATTTTATCCTAATCACGAATAGCCCCTGTTTCTTTCACTCGCATAGTCTGTATGCTACTTACCGATCCAAGCATCGTGTCTACCTTTCTCAATGATCTAATCGATCCGTCTACACACATACACCCTCCAAGCAGCTACTCGTCTAACGCGATCGTCCGATTTATCTTGCAGAGTTTTCAACAAAGTGAAAAGCAGAAGCGCGCACATGAAATCCCACAGGCCGGCGCCCTCGCCCGATTCAACGGGTCAGGAATCTAAGAGGCCTGTCCAGCAACAATCGAAGGCGCAACAATCCCAACAACCCGGCCAGCAACAGCGTCAGCAACAGCAGCCGCAGCAACAGCAGTCGCAGCAGCAACAACCGCAGCAGCAGCAACAAGCGAGCAACGTTTCACCGCAGACCCAAGACTTCAATCAGCAGCAACTGCCTCCCAGCAACGGCGACACCGGCGCTCAGAATCCAGCGCATTTATGGCACAACCCAACGCGGCTCAGGCCACCATAGGACGATGCCCAGCCGGTTCAACTAAAGTTACCTTAACGAAGGCTGTAACGGTACGGTAGGAAAGTATTTTACGGTCGCGCGTACTACACACGCATAGGCAAAAAAAAAAAAGCAAACAAAACACTAACTAAACAGAAATCTAAAGCAAAAGAAAAGAAAACAAAAAAAAACAAACAAACGATGTATGCAAAAAACGAGATAATCGGGATCGTCGATGGATCGACGTGAACGAGAGAGAACGTTTTCTTGCGCACACGTGGAAATGGGAAGCGAGAGAAAGTGGGGCGGCTCTCGAGTAATGTGTTTCAAAACGTTAACACAGGCCGAAACGCAAGTCTCAGCCTCTTCTTCTTGCACCTACGAGACCCAACCAACGTTCATCAAGCAACGTTCCTGTTTCTTTTCGTTTCTTTTTTTGTTTTTGTTTCTGTTCTTCGACGAGGTAAAACTGAACGAACGAACCACACTTCCACGAAAATAGATAAATATAGTTCCGTGAAGAATGAGAAACGAGTTGATGATGAAAGGGAAATGAAACGAGAATACCTCTTGCACGCGCTATGGACCTGGCCGAACAAAACCCCGCGTGTTCTCTGCCAGGCCAGCCATAAAACATAAGTTTAAACCACGTACGTATGTAGGTGCGGGAAATGCGTGTGCATCGACAAGTGTTAGACCAAGAAGCGCCTCTATCGTCGTCGATAATTTAGAAGAAAGGGATACAGAGAGAGAGAGAGGAAAAGGGTAAACATTCGTCATGTACCAGTTGTGACAGTCGCTAGGTTTCGGACTCTCACGACCCAACGACGAAACTACGAGGATAGAGGCTGTTCTGAGGTCGTCTCGATGATTACTTCGCAGTCGTAATCGAAGCTCTGTTCAACGAGGAGACAGGGTAACGGAAAAGTCCCCCTGTTCGTGTCATGTGGGGCGGACAAATCGTCGCGACAGTCCAGCGAAACACGGCGCGCAACCGACAACAGGTTGGATTGTCGAAAGGATAATAATCGAACGTGCAAGCTTTCCGTCGGGTTTTTTCATTTTCGTTCTTTCGATCAAAAAAACACACACACAAGAGAAGACAATTGGAGACACTCTCACGGAGAACGTCCTCGACGAAACGGTGTATACATTATATATATATATGTGTGTACAATATGGCCTACGGAGGGTTGGCGATCAGGAAATATCGCGCACCCTCCAACGAGCAACAACCACGCCGCGGAGATAGTGTTTTTAAGTTTTTTCCAAACTAGCAGCGACCAGCCAGGGGCTAAACGAAGAGAAAAAAGCTTCACTGAACGACTTAGATAAGGGAATTTTAGCCACGATCAGTGTGCTGTAACGTTTTGAACGATTATTCGCGGTTCTCGATGTACCTAATATGGCTATTACGCACGTGAAATGTTCCCAGGATTGTGCCACAAGACATTAACTGTTACCTGTTGCCTCTTTGTCATTTGTTTTTCTTTCAATGTTTTAGATTGTTTCATTTTCGTCTCTCTTTTATTTTACATATATATATATATTTCTTCTCTTTTTCATTTATCGTCGTCGGGATCGACTTGCGAACCGAGAATCGTTCGATCCGCGCGAGTAAGGAAGAATCCTTTCGTTCGAATTTTTCTGCCCTTTTTTAGAGTGAAATTCGAGCTACAAATGAGGCGATCGAAAAAATGATTCGTTTGATATTTACACGTAGTATAGTGTATTAGTAAAAGAAAGACTCGTTTTCTTTTAAGACGGTTCGCGAGCAGATCCTGTGTACTTAATGAAATTAATAACGACTTGTTGCACGTTCGCTCTAGTTCTACTTAGTTTAAAAAAAAAAAAAAGAATTACATTTAGCGTATTTAAAATGTCGATAAGTAAAGAGACATTTCACTTGTCAGAGACACGTTCGTAGATTTGTTGATGCTCCCCCTAAGAATTTTTGTTACCTCTGTTACTTAATATATATGAATATATATTAACTATATTTGTCAGAATAAATTTTAATATATATTATATATATATATACATATATACACATTATACATATGTATAAACAGATCGATGTAATTTGAATGATGATTCGTAGCCTAGGCGAAAAGATAATTAGTTCTCTAATAGAGTGAGAAGAGAGAGAGAGAGAAAAGAAATAAGAGACAAGTTGTTCAAGTTTCACTTCGGCTCGCGATCGATCGTGCGATCGCGATCGAACTGTAACATAAATTGATTATACATACAGCCGTGAGTACATTATACATACGCGCACCGAATGCAGACACGAGGCAGAGAGCGTTTTATTTAACAAAAAAGAAAAGGAAAGGAAGAAAGATAATGGAATCGTGGTGAACCAAAATGAGAGAGAGAGAGAGAGAGAGAGAAAGAAAGGTGGAAAGAAAGGATTATTATTCGACTAATCTGATCGCGTTAGATCACGACTCTATCTGTACATAATCCGTGTACATGCCTGTACATAATTGTAAACGTCAGTGTCTGTATGTGTACAATTCGAATGAATTTTAACGCAAACAAAACAAAAAAAATACGTAGGCTAGGTTTTAGGTTGTTTTAGGAGGGATCTATATTATAAATAAAGTATATATACTTGGCTTGATTTTCTACCTTACTAGGGACTACGTGGCGAAACTCTTCGAGCAACAATGGCGAGCTTTACCTATTTAGGCACGTTCTTTTCTTGTTGTTGTTTTCTTTCTCGTCATTTTCTATCCTTTCGTTTTCGGGCGTGACAGGCAACGATGTTCCTATATGTAAGGTGCCTTAAACTGATTGTTTGCGTTGATTATGCTATAGAAATTGTTACCATGTCGTCCCGACACACGCGCGACGTTCTGTTTTTTCTCCATGCTGTTTTGGGAAAAAAGAATCGTAGGTAGTACAATTGTAAACTTTAACAACGACGAATTATTATTGTTTAGCGATTATACATATATATTTATGCTTCGATTAACGTTTTACATTGCCACACGAGGAGGAGGAGATTTGGCTGAACGGCGAAAATTCTATGTTACTCGCTTTAATTATGTTGTATTTACGTTGTTTGTTTTTTTCTTTCTTTCTTTCTGTATATGTATGTATATATATATGTATATATATAGGAACATCGTTCCCGACGAAATTTTACAAGAGAAAAGAAAACGTAGAAGAAAGGAGTGAGAGAGAGAGAGAGAGAGAGGTGAAGAGACCATGTATACACGGTATCGATGTAAAATGTACGAAATCGCTGAACATTGTGTATTCTGGTTTGTGTGTTCGGTCCTAATGCTCGATATTGTTGTTGAAGAGTGTGCCCCGCCGATCGTAGCTACTCTAACTCTACCTTAAAGATATTGTTATTGTTAACATTCTTCTTCTTATTAACTTTTACCATTAAAAAAGGAATAAAAAAAAAAATCACGATATACATTTTAACTTTTTAAACTTTTCACGTGTAAAAAGGGGGAAAAAAAGGCGAGAAAAAATAGAGGCGCGCAAGCAGCAAGTGACTGAGGATGTGCTTTTAAACGGTAATCTGCCAAGTTTTAACACTGCGACGTAAAAAAAAGAAAAAAAAAAACGAGAACGAGAGAAAACAAAAAAAACAGAGTGTCCACGTAAACGCGACGGCTTTAAATCTTCCAATCTTGTGTTTTGTAGTCCGAGATACGGCGAGGCGAGGAGAGAATGTTACGTTGCAAACCAGCGCGATGGCGCCGCGAAACAGAGAAAACGAAACGCAAACGGAAGAAGAAACTTCCGTTTGACGTTTTCGACATTCGAGAAGAGATCCGTTGGATTTTTAATGCTTACGAGAGAGAGAGAGAGAGAGAGAGAAAATCGTCTGTCTTTTATGCGTGTGTGTCTTGTGTTTCTTCCATGTTTCCCCTCTTCGTCACCGATCCTCCCCTCCCTCCCCCACTTCTTATCCTCTGATTCACTGACAAAAGAACAAAAAAAAAAAAAAGAAAGAAAAGATGTGTAACGCGCTGTTCAAACGATAAACGTTCCGGCCACGCACCATTCGTTCATTTACAAAAAGAGAGAGAGAGAAAAGAACAAGAATTGCGTATCGATAGAGAGAAAAAATAAAAAAAAAAAGTCGTATGACCAGGGGCACCGTTTTATCTACTGTATCTGAAGAAAACGCACACGAGGAATAGATTTTTTCTTTCCGTATACCCTAAATGTATGTACGTATATCGTTCTACCACGAACACGCCACTCAAAACGACGTTTCGTTTTCAGAGGAGATATTTTTTAACAATTAGAGACGGTTGAAAGTTTCAACATCGATCACGTTCCGTATTTGAAGGAACGACGAAGCAGTATTTATGTCGCTGAACGTTCGACGCGTTTTACCGAGTAATTTATTTTTCAATCGCAATTGTAATCAACAGATAATTACGGCCCCATGGGTATACCTCTTTTCTGACTACAGAAGAACACACGATTTTGTGAACTCTGAGTGAACGGCCTCCAGTAAAGAAACGAGAGGGAGAGAGAGAGAGAGAGAGAGAAAGAGAGAGTGAAAGAGAAGAAAGGGTAGAGTGAATAAGAGAGCGTAATCCTAGAAATCTATAAGTAACTATAATAACTAAGATCCTAGGTGGTTCGAGTCTTAATATAAGTTCATTTAAGGTGTAAAACTGTTATATGAATTCCGACCACAGGTTCGGGGCATAAGTCGAATGCAAACAAAATTAGCAGACATATCATTTAAGACAATACACTTGTTACAGAAACTAAGTTTCTACTAATGTAATTCTTATTATATGTATGTAATCTAACTCTTAATCGGACTTAGAGAGATTCGAGGTGAAACACGGCGTAGTTAGTACTTTAAAAAGAGAACAAAGTGGAAAACAAAGAAGAGATGTGTTTTGAAAAAAAAAGGGGCGAGCGTTCGAGGCAAATTTTCCATTCTGATCAAATCCAGAGGACACGTTTCAACTGTCGTCTATATAACTAAATTACGTATTTCGATCGTTGTTCTTTTTCAATCGATAATCATCGTCGAT